TTGTTTTTTTTATATTGTTAGAGGTTTTAGTTAATAATTAAATTAGCGATATTGACTGAGCACAATGTGTTGACAACGATGTTTGTATTTTATATTCATAGTAAAGGTCTCTCTGATTGTAGGCGTGAAAGTAATGGCTACAATCCCAAAAGTGTTGAAAGCAGAATGTAACAATTTTTATATATTTTGTAAAAAAAAATGTAATTGAGGACTGATTTTATTTCTAAACTAGCGGGCCCGGCAAACGTTGCCTTGCTTAGCAATATTATTGATGTATAATTTTCGGCATTTTAGGTTTGTTTTTATAAACTCCACCATAAGGCGGAGTGTACAGACTTTTGTAATACCTTGGTATTTGCCAGAGCACACATAATGAAACATTACAAAACTTAATATAACCGTCTCTAATTTGGTATTTGGTTGTTTTAGTTGGTAGAATGGATCCTACTAAAATTGTCAATATGGGTCGACACTTTGAGGTAGCTCCCATATAACACAATATTCGTATTTTGGACAGTTTGGTCCAGTGTTTCAACCAAAATGGCTGTAATGTTTTATTTTGGATGATCAAAACCTCTTTACAAAAATTATCAATATTGGTCCAAGTTTCCGGGTAGCCCCCATATAATGGTATCCCCTATTGTCATGTGGTGTAAAATCTTCCTACCAAAAATTAGTATATATCCATTGCCATTGTAGTATCATATATCATTCATAATATATTTCATTCCGAGATTCCGAGAAGGGTAAAATACATTTTTGCGGAAACATTTCTATTTAGGACCAAGTTTTGATAATGCTCCAACATACAGGTCCCGCCCCATTTTTGGTATTGTACAGACTTTGACCGAATTTTCTCATGGAATTGACCTAATGTATTAAAAAGGCGCCATATGTATATCCCGTTTCATTTTCGGTATGTTGAAGTTCTTACCCCCGTTTTCCAATCTTCCTATGGAACTATTATTATTATTTTCAAGAAAAATAATCTAGGGCATGTATCTTAGAATCAGAACTTTATTCCGAATGTGTATTTTATGGAAAACCTGTGCACACAATGACCGCGTGTACATTCAGTGATATACGTCTCAATTATTTTTTTGCAGATGATTGCTTACATGACATTTTAAGACTAAATTTTTATATATATAGATAGATACATAAATACATACATAGATATCAATGGAATTTGAAAATATTCTTATATCCTGCTCAATTTATTTACCTGCCGCATGATTTATAATGTTGATATTAAAATGGTATCCATCTACCCCCTGCCAGAAGATCAAAGGATATTGTAATCCATCAAAGCTTCTGTGTATTTCAGATACACGCTTAGGTGAATTAAACCTACGCGTATGTTCACCTGCAGGTGTTTTATCAGCTCGAATGATAATATTACGGCTGTCAGATGGCATCCGATCCAATGCTATTTTGGTCATGTTTATTAAATTGTTATTTTGATGTAGAAACATTTGTAATTCTTGGACAACTGTTTCCAGGGCAACATAATCCAATAGATTCCTCAGTGTATTTTAACGCCTTAAAATATTTATATATTATTTTACTGATTTGTCGGCACAATAATAAATTGACGGATCATAGTGGAATGCAGCTCGTTCAAGGATCGCAGAAGCACGGCGTCTGCGAATTCGCTCTATTTCATTACGTCGTGCTTGCTGTTGATGAGTTTGATGTGCACGAACGCGTTGCGTTCTTATCCTATCTACTTCATTGTCACCGAATGCCGACCGAACTTAACGCTTATTCACTGGTTAAATCTTAAAGAATGTAGCAAAGTATATCCTCATTAGCCATACGGCTGAGAATATAAAAATCAATTTTTTGAAAACGAGAAAGGGGAAGGATCCCCTTAAAACGAACAAAATTACAATTTATTTACCAGTACCGAAAGGTAGAAATCCTGTCACTAATACAAAGTAGGTAATAACCAAACCTAGACAGGTTTATTAGTTAATGACTGTTATATAGTACCATATACAACATCGTTTTAGTGTCCAGTCGTTATTGGTATTGTCATCACAAATTATACCCCTATTATGATGGCGAAGATCAAAGGCGAAGCGATGTATGACGTTTACGATGGACATTTTTTCTACTACTTTCTAAATAAAAACAAAACAATTCACTACGTTATTTTCCCAAATCTAGACAAATTTATCAGCAAATAAATTATACACACACCCACAACTATCAAGTGTTGTCAAATGATGCTATTATTCAAAAACGCCAAAAATGTTTAACAAGGAATTTCAATTTTAATTGAAAACGTATGAATGGAATACAACTGCGGATTTAGTATCTTTTACAGATATCCTAAACATCAGAGAATGTCTTTCGATATACTATAAAAACGGGTTCTATTTGATAAAGAAAAATATCTTTTACAGATCCTCCACAGATAAAAACTCTTTTACAGGTATTTTATAAATTGAACCTTTTCTTAGTCTTTCTATCGATAAAGGACCTCTAGGTAGTTATGTGGAAGATAAAAACCAGCACGAACCAATTGTCCCCAACGATTGCGATAGATGAAACAGCGTGGTGGATAATCTTGATCGGCAACATGAAATTGCCACTGATGAAAATTCCGTAGTCGGGATTTATCGTTTAATTCTCTGTAGTGCTGCAGGGCATAGATATTGAGTTGCTTCTTAACGGGTGGTAGGTGTAGGTGCACAAAGACATAATACCCTGTACCACTGTGTGGTGAAGGGTATAAAAACATGCAACATGATTCTGTAATTTAAGTCAGTAGCAATATAATATATGTTGGTTCAAGTACAATTCTCGTTTATTCCACTTCATTTAGGTCTAATAAATTACGATTAATATGACTTTCCACAGGCAAATGACATAAACAAAATTTTTTTCTGGTCGTATACTTTAAGCAATCTGAAAACCCCAAAGCGTGGACTGACCCTAATAACGCATGGCCGAACTTAAGATACTCTACACCATAGAAATACTGACAAATTTTTGAATTGAAAATATAGGAAACATACATAAAAGGACAATTCTACCAAACGATTGTTGTAACCAAATAGAAATTTCAGCAATTTCAATGGGGGTTTCCCTAAAATCTCAATTAGATTGACAAATCCACTTCGGCAAATAATTGTGTCAGCTCACAATTTGCTGAATAATAATTCACAATTATTTTCGAGTAATGTCTTTTCCACTATATGATACCCTTTACCACTTTGGCTATATGCAAGAGATGCATCCTAACAGACCTCGCATTTTTGAAGGACCATTGACATGAAAGTGGACTACTTTAAATATATGATCTGTGTCTATATGTGAACCGACTTAACCGAACGATTAATAACCGGCAATAATTGTAAATTTTTATTAATTTTGTTTTTTCATTTATAATTCATCGACATAATCACTTCCAACCCTGCAAAAATTTTACGCGGAGAAAAAATTTATCAGTGTAAAATGTCCGTCCGTCTGTTGTCTAGCCTCTTTTGTCTGCAGGCAGGTCAAGTTCGAAGATGAGCTATATCGGCCCACGCAAAGGGGGTTCTTGAGCGTGCTTTTTAACCGAATTCGGTAAAATTTGGTACAATGGATTCCTCTTTGGTACATCAATCAACACACATGTTCTCGGTAAGCCATGCCAAAGTACATGTAATTAAGGGCAGATTTAGATTTGTTTAGAAAAATATGTAAATCTACTTAAATCAAGCTATTCATAATGTTACAACACAGAGCGCTATTGAAAATATAATCTACAGTTCACCCACAATCAGTTCATTATTTAGTTCACCCTTTAATTCTTTTGTGCACAATTTGCTAATTAGGCTATCCTAACGTCAGTACGTTTTGCAAAATTTTACGCCAATAGGCCTAAAATGGACTTTTTGGTGCACTATATCTAATTCTGAACCGATTTTTCCCAGTTTCAAAAGGGTTCGTTCCTGGCCCAAATAAATGAGTTGTGCCAAATTTCATCCAATTGGGATAATAAATGCGACCTGTACTTTGTTTAAAATTTAACATGATTCTATGCATATTATAAAAAGGAACCATGGGCCCGTTTCCTTTTGCCTGTTACAAACATATGCACAAAGACATAATACCCTATAACACAGTTTACCTTTTTTTATAAATAGATGGCAGGTCTTCTATAGGTGGAGGACCTTCTACATGTATTCCACAAATAAAAGGGATTTGTGTACTATATAGACAATCCTTTGCTGATCTTTAAAGGATAAAATGCTTTTTCATGAAGCGGACTAGGAACATATTTTCTATTGGTCCATATTCATTCTGGGGTGTTCTTGTAAATTTCAATTCGAAATAATGAAATATGAATACTCATTTTTTAAATAGAGTCAAAAAAAGTACTTCCTTATGCAGGTCAGTAATAATCAACAATTATTACCCTGATAATGGTAGACCTATTCAAAACAGTTTCTTGTCCCATTTGGCAAATGTAGTCAGATACACTCAAACTTTTATTATCGATTCTCATTGTTTATGAAAATTAAATGACCACCTATAAAATTATGATATCGAGATAAGAAAACTTTCTCCTATGAAATCTAGAGGTTGCTAAATTTTTATATAAAAAGCCGAATAGCTATTCTAATCAAGTCAGATTCATAGTTCATTGGCATTGGGAAACATCATGAAATTACTCGCAGTTTTGGCAATCACCGTAGCAGTCCTTGGGGTGACAGCTGCCTTTAAACCACCAGCAGCACGTTATGACGGCTTCAAAGTCTATAAAGTCTTTGTCAAGGATGAACAACAGCTGTCGGAATACAAGAAATTAGCCAATAATATTCCTGTGAGTTGGACACACCCCTTTTTCTGAAGGTAGAAAAAGTCATCATTAAATAAATAATTGTATTTATAGGTTCGCTTTTTGAATGACATCGGTGGTCCTGGTCGCAGCTATGTTCTTACCATTGATCCTGCCAATAACAAAGCATTGGAAAGCCACTTAAAATATCATGAATTCAATTATGAACTCACCATTGATGATTTGCAAGAGTAAGTGTCAATATACCTACATTTTGGAAGATATACATTGTGATCCACTTGGGGAGCTTGAGGAATGAGGGTTCTTTAACCTGTACTCAAACACCTCTTTGCTTTATAAAGATTTTTAATCAAATGTAATTTTAATTTAATTTCTCCTTGGCAGAGTTTTGGAACAAAGTATGCCCGTCAATATGGAATCGAAAAATTCCACAATGACCTGGACTACATATCATCCATTGGCTGATATTTATGATTGGTTAGATTCATTGGTCATTGATAATATGTTGACCATTGGAATGGATTTCGTAAAACCCACTGGTTTCTCTAACTCCTCTGGTATTTGCTACGGTACCGATATGAATCGTAACTTTGGTTTTATGTGGGGAGGTGAGTTAATATTTTTGTGCAAAATTCGAATGTATTATTGATGTGGAATTAATTTGGATTTTTAGGTGCTGGTCACAACTTTGATGTACCCTGTGATCACTGGTATGGTGGTGCTGCCCCCGATACCGAACCTGAGGTCTTGGCTTTGCAACATTTTGTCAACTCCTTCCCTGAGGGTTACATTCGCATGTATTTGGCTTTCCATGCCTTTGGCAATTTCGTCTTGTTGCCCTATGGCCATTCCAATACTGAATTCCCACCCAACTATGATCAAATGATGCGCATTGCCAATGCCTTTGCTGATGCTGCCCAAGTGAAATATGGAACTGAATTCTTGAGTGGCGCTAGTGGTCTTTTGAATTGTAAGTAATTTGGGGTTTTAATATTCCTAGAAGTATAAATTACATCTTATGTGTTTGTGTTTTAGATCCCGTATCTGGTTCCGCCAAAGATTGGGCCTATGGTGTCAAGAAAATTCCCTTCACTGCCACCATTGAATTGCGTGATGATGGTTCCAAATATGGTTTCTTCTTGCCTGCCTCTCAAATCTTGGAAGTATGCGCTGAAGTCACTGATGGTTTGGTGGAGTTGGTTCGTAAGGCCCGCGAGGAGGGTCTTTTCAATTAAATGTAGCTTATTTTATTATAAGCGAATTACAAAGAGGCTAATAAATTAAGTAATTAATTTAAACAATAAGAAGAAAAATTGTGTATGTTATACAAGGGGCTGAATATAATTTCGAACTAAACAAATTGTAAAATGGGTCAGTACGAATGTCATGTTCGCAATGTGACTTTATATTCTATGTTTTTAAGACTTTCCAAAATTACACTTAATTTGCTTGAAAATGTAGTCAAAATCATCAGTATAAAAATTGGGTATCGTTGTTTGAGGACTGTGTGAAAAATGTGGAAATATTTTGTGTTACAAATTAAATATAGAAATGCATATATCCTCTAAATTTTGGTTATGGTTCTAACTCCCACAAAGGGAGTCTGTCTAATCGGACTCTTCTTAAAAAATAATTTCGTATTACTAATAATTAATAATCTGGGCAGTCTATAATTATCTGAAATTCGTTATAGAGTCTGATTAATTAATTAGACATGAGATATCAAGTGATAAGCCAAATAATAATTTAGTTGTTAATTTTGAAGTTTTGTAACTATGGCTTTATAAAATGTTATACCACTGATCCGAGTACGGGATCGGGGTTTACTTTGGTCACATTATATGTATAAAAGGAAATATTACAAAATGAAAAAAATCGCTGTTGCAAACAGAAATTTACTGTGAAAATTTTTCATTTCGGGGGGTGGGGGTGGTCCCGGGCCGCCCCTGCTTTCGTCCCTGGTAAACACCCCTTTGAAAGACAACATTGTCGTTATCAATATCGATTAATCGTCTTTCCATATTGTCGCAGCTATGGGCCCAACCTCAATTTTTTATATTTTTCTATAAAGGATTCATTTTCTGGCCTGCATTGAGCCTGCTTCTAAAGACACCCTTCAGCTCGTCTGTAAAGACTGCCGTCAGATCGTCTATAAAGACTCCCTTCAGCTCGTTCATTAGACTCCCTACAGCTCGTCTATAAATACTGCCTTCTGCTCGTCTATAAAACTCCCTTCAGCTCATCTATATGGTCATCATTCAGGTCAGGAAAGACTCCCTTCAGCTCGTCTATAAATTAACTATAAGTTTTTTACCCACCTCCACCCATTGAAAATTAAATATATAATTCGTTATAAATTACAAAATTTATTAGCCTCTTTTTGCTTAACACAAATTATGTTAAAGTTTAATTGAAAAGACCTTCTTCGCGGGCCTTACGAACCATTTCCACCAAACCATCAGTGACTTCAGCGCATACTTCCAAGATTTGAGAGGCAGGCAAGAAGAAACCATATTTGGAACCATCATCACGCAATTCAATGGTGGCTGTGAAGGGGATTTTCTTAACACCATAGGCCCAATCCTTGGCCGAGCCGGATACGGGATCTAAAATACAAACACATAAGATGTAATTTATATTTCAAAGAATATTAAAACCCCAAATTACTTACAATTCAAAAGACCACTAGCACCACTCAAGAATTCAGTTCCATATTTCACTTGGGCAGCATCAGCAAAGGCATTGGCAATACGCATCATTTGATCATAGTTGGGAGGGAATTCAGTGTTGGAATGGCCATAGGGCAACAGGACGAAGTTGCCAAAGGCATGGAAAGCCAAATACATGCGAATATAACCCTCAGGGAAGGAATTGACAAAGTGTTGCAAGGCCAAGACCTCAGGTTCGGTATCGGGGGCAGCACCACCATACCAGTGATCACAGGGTACATCAAAGTTGTGGCCAGCACCTAAAAATCGATAAAAGTAAACATCAATAATATATTATCATTTTACAAAAAAGGATGTACCCACCTCCCCACATAAAACCAAAGTTACGATTCATATCGGTACCGTAGCAAATACCCGAGGAGTTAGAGAAACCAGTGGGTTTACGATTCTTACGCCACAAACGTTCAACATTGTGAGTATATTCCAAACCATCGGGGTTCAAAACGGGTACATAAATCCAATCGTAATTCATTAACAATTCTTTCATCTCAGCTGATTCAGCCTTGAGCAAATTATTAATGAAACATGTGGTGGTGGCCGAGGAAATCCATTCAATGGCATGGATGTTGGATTCAATGAAAATAGCCTTGTTTCCAGGTTTGGTAGAAATTCTGACAGCCTTAATGGGACGTCCTTCATAGGTTTTGCCAATAATGTATGGTGTAATGGTCAACATATTATCAATTACCAAAGAATCCAACCAATCATAAATATCAGCCAAAGGATGGTAGGCAGTCCAGGTCATTGTCGAATTTTTCGATTCCATATTGACGGGCATACTTTGTTCCAAAACTCTGCCAAGGAGAAATTAAATTAAAATTAGAAAAAAAATGTTTTTTTTTACAATGAAGTAAAGTAGTGTTTGCGACAGGTTGAAAGCCCTCATATAATTTATATCTTCCAAAAATGTGGGTATATTGACACTTACTCTTGCAAATCATCAATGGTGAGTTCATAA